GCTGTAGGGCCCTTGTCAGCTCCGAGATTCCGATTGGAATGAACCAGAGCACCCATGAAACTTTAGGATCTTTCTAGCGTCTGGCCTGAGCTCAAGGGGTATTTAATGTCAGTCCTTAGCGTCAGCGTCACTTAAAAGCTCTCTGACAGACGCAGGTCAGCAAAGGGGGCTGGTGCTGCTCCAAGCACAGGCCACAGGAGCGTGCCAGGCCGCCCAGCATGGGAGGAAGGCCAGGCTGCCACAGCATCACAGAACCCCGAGGCGAGACATGATCATGAGACACTGCCAGCCGACCCGGATGGTGATGTCCTGCCTGTAGTTCTGTGTTTTAGAGATAGTGTTGGAAAACTTGGCTTCCCCTTTCTGTGTCCATGGCCGACGTGCATTTGAGGCTCTCTCTGGCTACCCTGTGTCTGTGGTGGAGTGACACGGGGTGTAACATGACCGCTGAAGATGTAGCCTGAGTAGCGCTTGCTGTGACGGTGGGTAGCAACGGCACCCACACTAGTAATCATCTCCTCACTGTACAGACCAGTAGAGGCCCCTGTCGAAACAGCTTTCATAGAAAGAATGACCATTATTCTTCATCTGTTTTCTTGAACCATAATGCTCACTAACTCAGCCGAATGCTGCAGGTTTGAGTTGGACACCACAGAAACATTCTCGGTACTATCCGATTTCTGTCACCTGCACAGCATTTCTGGTAGACGTGGCCTGGTTTTGGCCATGCTCGGGCCCTGCTGGCAGGCCAGGGAGGGGACAGGAGGGGTTTATACGTATGGCTGAGTCCCATGGGCACAAACGTCATGTGTCAGCCTGAGGATTCTGTGACCTTAAACAATAGTGCCAGACTCTTGTTTGGGTTGGCACTCCCAGGAGACCCGAATAAGTGCTTGCTTACCTGACACGCCTGTGCGTGGAGTTTTGTTGATTTGTTGTTGGGTTTTCTTGTGTAAATCTGTCTTACGTTGTAAATACGTAGGTGCAGGGAAGAAATTTTCTAAGTTGGAAAAAAAGTGTCAAGTATACTTACTCTCTTGATTCTAAATACTGCATGTGGGGAGTTCATTAGTCCCAGAACAAGGTGAGGTGAGTACCTGATGCTTAGGGAAATTAGAGTTGGGTGGTTTTGGAAACAGACCCAGGGGGTAGAGGAATTTGCATCCATGCAGTGGTTCTAGAATTGAAAATCAATGTTATATGTAAAGGTGACATATCTTGGCTTTATGGGATAAAATAAGCTAAAAGCTAACTTTTAGAATGCGATGGCAAAAAAAACACCACTTTTCAATAGTTTACTGTTCTTCTTCTAAATTTAAAAAGAATATCCTTCACGTTATTTCTGGTCTGAGAGAACACTGAGAGCTTACCTTTGGAGCTTAAAAAACAATAATTTAGATCTGAGGATAGTGTGTCAGCACACAGGTAGATGCATGTGAAAGGCAATGCATTCTGGAAGGATCTGGGGGCCACACAGCGGTGGAGTTTGTATAAATAAATGTCCACTTTTGTTCTTTTGAAACCAAGAACTGGACTTAATAATTTTTTTTTGTAAGTATTAAATTTTGTTTGTTCTATAACCTGGAAATGGGCTTTGGATTCAGAATTGGGTATTCAGACACTACCATTTTCAAACTGTGGAGACTTGGGTTATTTGTTTAATTTTTGAACATTTCTCATTTTAAGACGTGGGCATCGTCACTTACCTGAATGGTTGCTGAGCATATTAACTTGCATGGGAGAAAGCCTACCACCTACTAGGTGTTTATTGAATGCTAAATGTTTTCAATGAAAAAGGAAGTAATAAATCTAAAATTTCATTGCTTAAGTGTAGAAATAAGTACATGAAGCAAGTCCTCAATCTTGGTGACTGGGACTTCTGACAGGGCCCGCTCTTTGTTGCTTCCTGTAAGCCCATCACCTGAGGAGCTTTTCCATAAACACTAGAATCAGAGCAAACCGCATTTGAGGAATATTCAGGACGCCAAGAGTTATTGCCCTCTGAAAAGAGTGGTTGACGGAGTCACAAGGGTCTGTATTCATCGTGTCATTATTTACCGGATGCGAGCATGTTACCAGTGCTAATAGTTGCCGTATATTTCTGGTGTATAATTTATACCAGTTATTACTGTGTGCCATGTGCTATATTAAACATGCCTGAGCATGGCCTCGTTTAAGTCATTTCGTAACTTGAGAGGTTGGCATTATGCCGCTCAGTTGTATAAGACGAGAGTGGTGAGCCATAGGGCCAGACGGGGGATGTGTGGAAGCCAGGGCAATGCCTTCTCGGGCTAGCACCTCTGCTCTGCACCCCTAATCAGGGTGGTAGGCTGCTTCTTGAAGTGCTAATGCAGTAGTGCTTATTGAGAGAAAGGTTGGTCTTTAAAATTTTGAAAGCATTATTACTTGAGAAGAGCTGAGGAATTGGTAACAAATAATCAGTACTAGTTTGTACAGATTAATTTTCCCGATTTTTGTATATTGACTTTGCTCCTTCCAATACAGGTATAGGCGGCAGTAAGAGGACTGTCCGAAGGGGTGTTTCTCAGTCTTGGCTGCACAAAAAGTCACCTGGGAGCTTTAAAATGAAAATCTAAGAAAAACCTAGTGAAGGAAACCCCCCAGATATACCTCTCACAAACTTTGGTTTTATTATGATATAATTGATGCATGACACTGCCTTAGTTTAAAGTGTACAGCATCTCTATTGCTGTACTTGTGTATTGCAAAATGGCCACCACAGTAAGTTTAGTCACAAATTTTTTGTGATGAAGACTTTGCGACATGCTGTCTTAGCACCTTTCAGCTACAGAATAGTGTTATTAATTGTAGTCGGCATGTTGTAACTTAGTCTCAGAATTTGTCTTAAAATTGGAAGAAGTGTGTACCTCCCCTTTCTAGGTCTTATCTTTAGCAACTATCAGTTCTCTGTATCTGAGTTTGCTTTTTTTTTTTTTTTTTAGTTTCTGTATATATATATGAGATTATGAAATATTAGTCTTTTCCTGTGTCATTTATGTCATTTAATTCACTTATATCAGACCTTCGAGGTCCATTCATGTTATATATGTCACTTTTTTTATGTCTAAATAGTATTCTTCATGATATTCCAGTATAAACTAAAGATGTCATGAATCTTCTGGAGGTCCAGGCAAGCTGTTTAGATCAGTATCCCCAGGAGCATTGAAGTCCTACTCTGGGTTCCATTTTGCTTGGTAGTCTGGTTCTGCAGACTCGGCTACCCCCACAAATCCCCCCCACCTATAGTATTTTCTCACTTGAAGGTGAAGGAGGAGGGGAGTGGAGAATGGGGAGCAAGAATCCTTGGTGTTCCAGGTAGTGTGGTCTCCCTGGAAGTTCTGCTGGGAAGGTTATGAGTTCTCTAGAGCTGGTGCCTAGGATCTGATCCTTCCATGGCTCTGCTAGACCTTTGCTATGTTGTCTCATGTTGTTTGATTTTGTTATTCAGCGACATCCCAGAGACATTGGCCATGCTTGGGAAGACGAAACATGAGTTAAGGAGCTGTTCCCGATGTGGTTCACCCACTGGTGCAGTTTTTCTGTACAAGTAGGTTCCCCTGTCTTTTCGCCTTCACCAGGGTCATACTCTTAACCCGAATTCTCTCTCGTCCCCACCACTGTACAGCTGTCTTTAACTTAAACACTGCCAGGCGGCAGGAAACCCGCCATGGGCAAGCTCCTGGAGAGCGGGATTCGAAAGGGAGAGCAGTAGTTTGCTGTTTTCCAGGTTGTTTCCTAAAGGGAGCACGGGGTGAGGGAAAGATGGCACCAGCACTTAGCCCTGGAGCACGCCATTCATTTTCCACTAGCAAACACTTGTCCACAGTCATTTAAATCGTTTTTATTCCATTTACACATGAGGGGGCAGTGTGGTACTATCAAGCACATGCTCTGTTTTTATTGGTATATAATAGTTTTTAGGTGAGAACTTTTCATCTCGGCGATTGTAACTCTGACATGGTTGCTATTAAATGTGCTCCATGGATGTAAGTGATGTCCTATCCCGTCTCCACAGGCCCTGAGCCCGGGTGGCAGGGCACATGCATGAATAACATTTCCTTGCAGGGGAGGGGCCTTCCCAGAGCGCTTTTACTGTGAACTTTACAGTTACGTTGTGTTTGCTGCTGGCTGGCTCTCTTCCCTTTTCCTGCCTCCACCTGAGGAATGTCGGCCCTCTGGAGAGACAGTGTATGTCCAGTTGATGTCTCAAAATATTTTATTTTATGACTTCACTGAAGACTGAAGGTTCTCCACTCATGGGGGGCATAGGTGGCCTCTCATCTCAGGCCAAGGCGGCCACGGGAGGGATGATTGTAAGTCACCCTGTGTGACATTTGCAGTTTGCTTTTCTCAAAAGAAAACAATTGCTAAGCGAAGAAACTGCGCATTTTAATGGACTATCAGCAGCATCATGGGGCTGACCTTCTAGGCTCATAAATGGAGGGGATAATATTAAGTGAAGCTGGAGGGATTAAATTGATAAAACCGACAAAGCATTTTATAAAAACTGTACCTGGAATCTGAAAGGTAAGTTCATCGGCCTGGGCTATTTTTAAAATGTGTAAAAATCATATGCAGTCATATGTTTCTGTTTATGTAGTTTTAAAAAAAGACCGAGACAGGCACGTTGGCATAAATATAACCCTGAGTGCAATGTAACGGGCTGTTTGCACCGCTTCCCCTGGCTACTCCATTTGCGGTTGAAGAGCCGGGGAATATCTCCACCTGGTCAGCGGAATTAAACTTGCTCAGCTGGGGGGTGGGTTTATTTTGAAGACAGCCATTTGATACTGCTTTTACTTCATTTTAGTAAGAAATTTGAGTTTGCGATGTTGAGTTATGAATATAAATACAAGGCTCGTCACCTCTACCTTAAATTGGAAGGAGCAGGTTTTGGGCTCCAGATCAAGCTTTGCAGTTGCAGTGCCCAGGCCTCTGTTGCTGGGAAATAATCAATGTGGTTTATGCTTCGATGACAGATCTTCAGGACCCTGCCGGACGCTACACTGCCTGAGCCTGTGTCCCAGCCCACATCCCCCCCAAACGCCCCCCCGAGACAGTCGAAGAGACTTGGCCAGAGGATTAAGAGGCCCGTGGCTGTGTATAATCTTTGTCTTGAGCTGGAGGATGGTAAGGTGTTAATTCTGCTTTTTCCTGCTTCACAGCTTGTTGAGAATATGACATATGATATGTCCCCAGGGCAGGCCTGGTTGCTGTGCTCTGTGTTTTCATGTCTTGTTCCCTTAAGATTATAATTTTTGAGATTAACAGGGAGGGTAAAGCTTTCTTGCCAGGGAGAGAATGCAAGTTGCAGTTGTGTGTTTGTGCTATGCGTGGTTCTTTTTTTATTTTTAAAAGACAGCTTAAATTTCTTTTTTGGGAGACTTGTGTGACCTCCTGTGAGGTTACATAACCCTGAGACAAATGGAAATGGAACTAAAATTAAAGCAGATCCTTTATGAGAAGAACTGATAGAGTCGTTTAATGCTAAAAAGCACCAGGTTAAAGGCACAGCTCGCAGAGGCACAGGAGTCTGGCTCCTACACCCCAAGTATCTGATTTCTGACATTTATTTTCCTAAGGCTGCTGTCTCATCACATGGCCAGAGTGGCAAACCAACCCGCCTGCCGTGCTCAGGCGGAGACTGGGCAACGTCTCAGGTTCCCCACCCACCAGCGTGGGCAACTCCTGTGGCCAAGTAACCCCGGGCCCAGTGTCGCCACGCTGCCTCGTTTATAAAGAAAGCCTGGGCTGTTGCCCTTGGAGGCCAGATCCCACAGAACAAGACCTTGAGTTCTAGAGGGGCCCCCGATTGCCGACTGCGACCCTGGGGTTACTGGCGTGGAGGGGCATGTCCTGGTCTCCAAACCTGCATGTCAGGCAGTGTGTCTGCTGGCACGGAGTCTCTTGCGCTGTGAATGCCATCGCTGTTGAGGCCATTTCCTGGATTAGAAATGAATCTTCCTTTTTTCTATTCTTCTCATCTTTCTTGAGGGGCATGAAGGGGACACCTCTCATTATCCATTCAAGCCACTGAGGTTAGATTGGTTTGGAATACAAGACGATTGTCAGAGGAAGGAGGGGATGGAGGCAGGAACAAGTGTGCCTTATCTTCACATGCAGAAGCTGTAGCCAACTGTCCACAGAGTCAGTATCCAGACTGCCCCTTAAGTAAGCAGCAACTCTCTTCCATTCAATAAACTCTGGGAAGGAGGAGGAGTTTTGGGGGGACCCAGAGAGCCTCCTGTGACAACAGAGTGGGCTTCGGGTGTTCCAGTGTTCTTTTAAGACACTTTACAAGTATTGGTATTATAATCGGATCCTTACTTTTGAGAAAAAGGGCATGGGTGGTTAAAAGCAGCCTGGAAGTCCCATTTAGATATGAGTTTCAACTTCTGATGCCAGGGAACTTTTTAATTCTCTCTCCTCACTTTCACTCTATCTCAACAGAGTTGCTAATAAGGAGTAAAACTGACTGGTTTGAATTGCACCTTTTTTTATCTCTCACTTGTCCTCCGGTGCAAGTGTTAATAAATAGTGAAAGAGGCAAATGTTGGAAAGTAGGAGAGGAAAAAAATCAAGAAGACATAGTTCTGTGCCAACTTTGACTCATGAGAACAAATGAATTGACCTTATTTCATAATGGGCATGACCAAAGAGGGTCAGGTTGGCTTAGAATCACAGCCCCTTTGGGAATTAAAATGTATCATCCAGTCGATGTGCACAGTGTGCTTACCTTGAGTGCTAAGTGACTGTGAATGGGGAGGAAGCTTCTGAAGTGGTATTCAACCCACCTTTTATGGAATGTTCGAGATGGTGTACTCTCACAGCTTTCCTGCTTTTAGGTGGTTGAACAATTCTTAAAAAATGATTTGATTGTAAGGGAATAAAGATTTGTCAGCTCCTTAACTTCTGCTTACATTCTTGGATTTTTTTCTATTTTTGGAAAGTTACCAGATTGAAAAGTCGATGAGTTTAGTGATAGAATGATGTTATTTTCCCTTAGCGGTCATGAGAAGAAGTGTCTAAACACTTAGCTTAGCTCCCTTTCCTCCAGTTACTTGTCATGAAGCAGTGAAACTTAAGCTTATGCAAGAGTCATTCCAGGGAAAGTGAATCTGCTTTGAACGACAAGCATACAGGGAATGGATCCTGAAAGTTAGGCCATCGAATGTCGCCTGCATGTTGAAAGCCCTACCCCCTCCAAAAAAACAAAAACAAAAACAAAACAAAACAAAAAAAAACTACCCATGTCACTGGGACTTAAACGTTTTTCAGTGACAGACCTGAGTTATCTCATTTTCAGTTCTGCTTGAAGGTTTCCAGAAGTTTATAATGTTACACTTTTTCTTATTGCTGGGAGTAGTGTCACTCGATGTTTATCTAGTTTTGGATAAGATATGCGTAGCCGGACAGCTCTGGCTGATTATTTTTGTGATTTCCTTTTTACTTCTTGGAATATGAATCTTTTTTTTTTTTTTTTAAAGATTTATTTATTTGTGCATACAGAATTGGGATACAGGCCAGAGGCTCGGGGGCGGCAAGAGGCTTCACCAGAGACAGAGCGGGGAGCAGAACAGGCAGATCGACGAAGTACACTGCTGAGGGGAGCAGCGGGCGGGTCAGGAGAGGTCTGCCACGCCATGTGGTCACCTCCGGGGCAGGCGGGAATCGAACTCATGCGGAAGCGGCCTTTGATTTTCAGTGCTGTGCTTTAACCCGCTGCGCCACCAGGGAGGGCCGGAATATGAATCTTAATGGAAACATTATGTGCCAAAATGTTCTCTTCTGTCCCCTTTCTGCACTCTAGTGGAAGTTCAATTTGACTTCAGAAAATCCAGGGTAAATGGTGTTTGGTGAGGAGCTAGGAAGCTTACCTGCTAGGATCCGTGGACCTAGATTGGATAGCTAAAGGTTTGCTTCAGCCCTGAGATTTGGTCACCGATTTGGTGTTTGAGTGAAGTGGTTTGTGGTCTGTATTTCTTCCTTTACATTGACTAAGAGTGTGAAACTTGGGATGTACCAGTCAGCATCGAAAAATACTCAGAATCGGGTTCATTTCACCTTCAGGGAGATCAAAGAGTTGTTATTAGCAGAGTCAGCAAGCCTGCTAGCGTACACATAAGTAGGAGGGGCCTTGACTCCGGGAACTAGCGAGCCTGAAGTGGGAGGGTGCCCGTCATGATGTTTTATTCACCCCTCACCACTCTCAACTGAGAGATGACGAATTTAGTTGAAAACACTTAGTATCTTTACTTTCATAACAACTTTTTGGCACTGGCACATTTAACCATACAGCATACACAGTGCTCATTATGTTCTTTGTAATATATGACTAAAACGATACTAAACTTTCTATTTGCAAAAGATGTTAATATTCTAGTTACTTGCTTAAGGATCATTAATGATGACTGATAGGAGCTGAAGTGGCTATCGGACCCAGCCACATTTCTTTAAACAGAGTAGCCCTCACACCCTTACTGGAACGAACGTCCTGTTGTTTTGCGGAAACCGTGTTGTTCATTTTCATATAGCTTTACGTAAACTCATGCTCTTCAAAGTTGAGTCACTTTGACTAAGTTGTTTGTTGTGAAATAGGAGGCAGGAGGCAAGGGCTGAAGAGGAAAAGCCAGTGGTTTGCTTTCATTTCACACTTGCAATCTCGTTTCTGAGTTTTAAATTTCTAGATAACTGAGAGTGGAGTAACCTAACCCTGCCCACTCCAGCCGTTCGTCCCTACCGCCCTCTTTCTGTGTATGCTGTGCAGTCTTTCACTGAAGCGTTTTCTTGGTTGCTCCTAACCAGCTGGGCACGCAGCACACGGCTGATGACACCGCTGATGTCCTGAGGTTGGTGGCTGTCAGCAGTGAAGCCACAGACTGAGCATTCCCTGGTACCTTTAGCTGTTCCAGAGAGTTCTGTAGCTAAAGATCGGTGCCACAGCTGTGGGACTGTGTTGACAATCTCATCAGAAGTGATCTTTCCACTGTGCTTACTACTGGGTTGACGGAAAACTCATGACGTATTTTTGTCTGTTTTCAAGCAAAACTGTGTCATGATTTTTCCAATATTTTTCTTGTATTTCCTGCCCTATGGTGGTTTTTTATGGGCTTTGATGATGAGGCAGAGGCTGAAGGTACCAATTCAATCTGGGCCTGTCTATTCTGAGGGGTCAGTTTCACTGTTGTCCTCAGACCCTTCCAGTCCACCAGTTGCCTGGGTGATACCATCACAAACTTTTTTTTTTTTTTTTTTTTTTTGCAGAAGACGGCATACGAGATGTCGAGCAGTGACTGGAGTTCAGACGTGTGCTCTTCCGATCAGTGCACCTTGGCTATCTGATTTTGGGTTCCCTGA